TCGATATGAATTGCGTATAACAATTTCGCAGGTAATTTTCGGTGTTAAATTTTCTTGAATTTAGGAACACACATTTATTGATGCACATGTTGCCATACAAAGATGTTGAAAGCGCAAAGGGGAGTGAGGGAAAGAGCAGAGATGGCAACACAAAATGACCGTACTTAAGTAATTAATTTATGTATTTGACTCAATGTTCGAATGACTGTTTTCACATATTGTATTTGAATGGTCGAGCATCTGAATGTTCATTTCATTTGGTGTGCCTAGATTTCCAGGGCTTTCGAACTGCGATTTGCCGTTACCGCATCATTAGGCTACGGTTAGGCACTTTGCTTTAATTTCGTTCCATTGACTGAAGTCTCTAATGATAATGACATATATGCATGATATTTTGTATTTATATGTGAGTATATCGGTTTCGGTCTTTCACTCAAATAGAATTCGGATACAGAATACGGAAGGCTAAAAATGCCAATATAAAAAGCAACACCACAAATTTAGTTAATATAATTTCATTTATTCTCATGACCACCATTTGCTTCGTTCACATCGAAAATTGAGATGCTTCCCTTGATATAGCTCATACGGAGAGAAAAATTGAGAGAGAGAGAGAGGCATGGAGATGTAGGTGCGTGTATGGTACATTGCCAAGTGGATGTGGCAGTGACGTGATTTTTGAACGACCATCATTATCATCATCATCCAAAAGTGGCCAAATTCACATCAACATTTTAAAACACTGGATTGCTTCAGATAAATAATGAGGCGTGCTAATGAAAAAAAGATTTGTTTATAATTTTATGTGACACTTAATTTATTTCCTCATTCTCATTTTCTTTGTCGTCGATCCTCATGTTCGGGTCGAGTACAAAGGTTCATTTTGATTTCTTCTCGTTGGCTTCGCTTCGTTTGTAAGGGAAATGAGCATTAAACCTAAGATGCCAAGTGAAACGATCATGATGTAATAAACTGTAAACGTGCCAATGAGGGTTTTTTCTCGCTCCAGCTCGTTTGATTTCAATGAAGTAAATTCCAATGGGAAGAATGGGCTCGTGTGCACAAAAGAAAAATTGTCAGCCATATAAAAGACATCCGAAGGATATGTAAACATTTATTGTTTGATTGAAATGCATGGAAAAACGACGAAAACGGATGATGAATACATGTATCACACTAATTACATAGCATATAAAATGCGATAAATTACATGAAATGATGTAAAGCATACACGCGCGCACATAATTTATTTCATTCGTTATTCGATAGTTAATTCATTTTCCGTTGTCATTTGCCATTCGCACCGCCAAACTTCGAACCACTCATTTGCCGTCGTCGTACAACCCTTGATTCTTCAACGCCACAAATATCTGCCAACAAATAGCAGCATTGAAAAAGAAATGCGACAAAAGCAGAGAGCTATGCAGAAAAGAAGCATTTTTTTCGGTGTGCGCGTAAAAAGTACAAGTCAAAGTATCTTTCATTTCGATTTATATTTATAAGAAATACATAGAATAAGTTTTTGGCTTGAGACATGCTAAACACACCGCCACCGTCGTCAACACCAATCTCAAGATGCATGAACGTAAAAGAGGTGGAGGAGATTATAGAGTAAGAGAGTGAAGGGTCGTCTGTTGTATTTGATATGCTTATCGTGTCTTTTGCAACATGATGAGAGCATGATCCATGATATCGTGTAATTATGCTAAAGACGCTCATACTTTTCTGCAAAGTTCGGCAACTAATGTCATAAAATGCGAAAGAAGATGAACGAAACGGATAGTCATTCGCTCCTGCACTTTGCCTCCGTCTAACTCCCACTTCATACGCTTCACTCTCTGTCTCTCTCTTTCTTTTTCTCATTTGCTCATGCTCTCGTTACTCTTTTTTATACCTGTGGATTTGAACGTAAACTGCCACGGTATCGAAATGCAAAAGGATGTCGGAGTCATGTCACATTTATAATAAGTTGCGATTTGTTCTGCGTTCGCAAAATTTTCGAATGTGAAGTGTATGGCCCGCTTTTCATGAATAGTGTAATGTGTGTATGGATGTTTCGGTTCGCGCACTGCTCACTGAATATACACAATTGGGGCCACATGACAGTAACAGTGGCAGCTATCGGCTGCCTTCGAACTTTTGGCTTGACTTGTTTCACTTCATTCACATCCGTATAATGTGCGAGATTAAATCTAACGTACAATATGTTCATGGCTCATATTCTCTCAGTTTGTACAGTTTTTTTCTTCCTCATCGTTGCTGACATTAAATTTTCATCGTTTTTTTTCACATTCTGTCTCTTCATTTGCACGCACACACAAGTTGACTGGGAATGTATGGCATGGCGTATGTCTGCTGTTATAATTTTATTACGGATAAATTAATATTTTAAATTTTCATGTGAAAATACGATCCGCACAACTTATTCGGTGGTGTAAATTTTTGGCATACCTGGTTTGAATGCTATGTTTTTCATAACGAAGCCATCGTCGATATAATTAAGGGCGCGCAAGTCAATGCACAAATATGTGAAAATGGGAAACGCTCACGCGATTCCTTCTCTATATGTATGCACACGAGAGAAGCAAACGAAAGCATCAAAAAAAGACACTGCTGACACTTCTGAGAATCTTGTATTTTCAACACCGTACACACTCACACCGGGCCTCCGAAGCTTTACTGGCTGTGCTGCTCAGTCATGCTTGTTTTTTTTTTGTTTCAGTATAGTTCAATGACAAAATGAAGCTGCCACAGTAGTGTGTTGTTTTTTGCGTCGTTCCAGCAGCAGCAGCATCATCATCAGCAGCATGTTAAATGCGATACAGTTTTTCTCTTGCTCTTTTTCGCGTCTCACTTTTCTCATTACCGTAATTTTCGATTGGACGCCGATACTTAATTAAATGCGAACATGCATGCCGTTCTCTCATGAGAACAACTAGAACGTGTCTATTTAACCTTGCTTGATTCAATCTGAACTTCTTCATCACTTGACGAGATCCATTTTTTTTAGAGTGTAGAACGTTGATTTTTTTAAACGTCGAGTTATTTGAAAAACAAATATAATTTTCATGTCCAAATTGAAAAAATAAACAAACTCAGATTGAATCAATGAGGAAAACTATATCGGCGGAAAAAAATCTCTTTTTTCCCGCTTTTCTCTCTCGAATGGAAATTCGTGTATGATAGTTTTTGAGTGAATCAAATCAAATCAAATCAAATCGGCAATTATAATGTGTGATACGTGCGTATTGCGTATGATTTTGGAGTTTTTCCACCGTATTGTGTTTGATTATTTGAATTTGGCTTTTGAAAAATTGAATACGATTCGACTCTGTGTACAATACTTTTGAAAGGTGTGAACACCGTTCAGAATATAAATGAAGAATTGAATATACAAAAAATATATATATATAACGCCACGTACACGCGAGACACGAAAAACAAACAGAACTCATTATTATTAGAGCCCGAGACAATTTGTATTTCATCGAAGTGTGATTACGATTTTCCAATTGCCATGCATGAACACCACATCAACGATGGAGACCGCGAATGCGAGCGCGCGCTCGTTTGCTCGCGCGACCAATCAATAACGAAGAATTATCCACTGGAATATATCGACCAAATGAATAACAATACCGCCAAAATATACAGAGAGTGAGCGGTAACAGTAGCAGTAGCTGAGCAATAACAGCACCCAAAAATTGGCTCAGACAGACGGAAAACAAGCGATATGGAAAAAAGCCGAATGAATAACACATTAAGCAAAAAAAGAGTATGAGTGAGAAAGCAGTGGTTTTGAAAAACCCAAACCGAACTCGATTCGATTCGATTTACATTAATTCATTTTGAGAGAATGAAATTTCGTTATTCAGTTATTTTCATTGTTGCTGTTATTATCTCGTCGAATGTCCAGAATCTAAGGCACGAATATGGCAGAGTAAAACGATTCTTTGCATTGGTTTTTGTGCCAGAGATTTAAATACACGGTGTGGCATGTGAGTGTGTGTATATATATTTTTTTCCATTGTAATTGGATCCATTTCATGTGGATGTGACTTTTCGATTCTCGATACTATTAAATATTTACCAATTCGAATTGTGTTTGATTATGGCACACACTATCAGCAGTGGTCAGTGGCCAGAAAGCGTCATTCGGTTTTCTCTTCCATTGTACTTGAATTTCTCGATTAAATCAGCAACGGTCAAATGAATGAGCGAAGCAAAGAAAAAAAAAGTGCTTTTCAATTACGCCAAATGGAATAAATTTTATTTATAGAATTTCATAGAGGAATTTCCTTGGAATTTCGATTTGGCTTTTTTTTTTCACCTCTATCATTTTCTATGAATCGATTTTGGTGCGCTAGTAAAAAGAAGTGGACGAAAATCTCTTTTGTCGACATATCAAAAATTTTAATTCATTTTTTATACAATTTTTGCATGGTTTCATTAGCGATTCTTTAACGGCACTTATTGTGTACGAATCCAAATAGTAAAGAGACCGATTAGATCTCTCGGCAGGGAAAAATGGTGAAAATCCAGAGAAAACGCATAAATCAGGAAAAAGATGAAGCGAGTGAATTTGCTCTATTGAGAGACGAAAACATGCTGATTCACTAATAAATCGAAATGCAATTACTTGAAATCGCTTTTTCATGCGATTATAAAAATACGAACGGAAAAGACGTGTGAACACGACAGAGGATAGTGGACGACGATGAGCAAAACGTATAGTTTTGTTCGAATTAGTTTTGTGTAAAAGTGGAACGAGCGACGACGACGATGACGACGACGACTGAATAGAAGTGAAATATTCTACAAAAGAATCTATTGGATTGGTAATTCGTGCTGAATTGGATATTTTTGGATTATATTTGCCATGTTGGCTGCAATATTGCACATGGCGCGCCACATTCAATGAATAGAGAGCGAGCACATAATGAATTATGAGGTAGTTTATAAAACTTAACAACGATATAATAATGAAAGAGACTGATTACCTGTAATTTGAGGCGAGCGCATTCTGTCCAATGGCCACGTTATCATACTTTGCACCGATGTGAGCCCAATAATATGAGAATTCATTTGTATTGTGCTGTTCGCTGAAACGACATTTCAGTGAAATGGTCTCTCCTTCTCGTGTATCCATCACTAAGTCCTCGGCCTGTGACACTGATACCAGCGATAAAACTGTAAAATAAACAAAGAACAAAAAAAAATTATAACATGTGTTTATTAGTTTGTTTGTTATGTACTTTGCAATGGAAGTTTTTAATTGGAAGTAAATAAAAAAAAAATTATCGCAACTGCAACACACACACACATATACTCCAAGTTTTATAAAAATGTTACGTTCGATAACATAGTTGCGTCAACATGCGCTGCGCACACGGAAACACCACTTCAATTAAGCAACACTAGGATTTCTATATGAAACATATATATTTGCACGAACCTCGACGCGCTTCAACTTGCTTTTTTTTCAATTTCTCAAATCCATTTCACACGACAAATATCGTTATAGTAATTAATTTGAAATGGTACCAATGACATAAAACCATAAAAATGGATTTTCTTTATCGCATTCGATGGACGATATATTTATTTATAAATCCAATGGGAATGCATGATTTAATTTCAAGATAGACGAGCACGCATCAAAAGCAACAACATGATTCTGATTAACAATTGAATAAGTCAAGTGAGATAGCTCAGATAGACAGAAAAGAAAGCGCAATGAAAATTACAAAATAAAACACGCGTATAATGGCTTGCATTGTGAACAAAGATCAAGCATTTAAAGCAGTTAACAGCAGAATTTCAAAACATGACGGCAATGTAAACAAAGACAACAGAAAATCTACGACAAGTGCAAATGCTCGCACAAACAGTCGTCGTTAAACGACAAAGTCCTAAATAAATTCTTGTATCCTTTTTTTTCCTCATCAACGCAACGACATCGACGACTACAACATCGCTTTACCATTTTCTTCTCTGTAGAATATCCCACGATTGGCGCACAATACACAACTAAAAGCTTAAGCAAAAAGTTAATTAAATATTTGTCTTCGCTATTACGCAATTAAAACGAACAAAAACAAGTTTCTGCACTGATATTGCGATGCGTCTTCTAGCAAAATTGTCAATTGACTTTTTCGCTATCTCTCTATCTCCCTCTTTCTACGCAAGGATTTGTGCAAATTTTTCGAGCCGAGTCCATTGAGTTTTTCTTTTGAAAAAGAAAAGTACACAAAAACGAGTGAGAGAAAGAAGGAAATTACCATCATAAGGATAATTTCGACTGCTGCACGAACCCAAATAAACTTAATGCAAAAGAAAACAGTCAAACGACAATCATAGTACCGTGCTGTATCACAAAACAGTGCCATTTTGCAAAACGTAACAAAATTACCGAAAAAAAACGCACGAAATAAAAAAGCTAGTGAATAAGAGTTGCCTGCGACACAAATCGAAAAAAATGTCTGCCTAAAAAACAGCTTGGCCCGAAAATGTTTTTTGAATTATACATTCTGAACAAAAACAAAATAGCTGCATTCAGAGAAAATGAAACGCTTTTAAAGATTCCCTTGTGAAAATGGTGCGGTTTGAAATATATGCCCGATATTATTTTGACTGTGACAAAAGAAGCTTATTCACCTTTTTTGCGCTTATGACTTTGGTTTTGAGTCAAGACGAACCAAACGCGCACAACGCATACATTTTTGTCAGCTTCAATTACGGTCATTTGCGATACTGAAACAAATGGAATGGTTCATTTACAAGAATGCGTTCGACAATTGTTGGGATTTTTGCTGGGGAATCGTTGCAGAAGCGGAACCGAACCGAGAATCCATGAGCAAAGATGTAAAATATGTTTCATTTTGAAAGTTGGCAGCCATAAGTCATACAAAACGATTTCAAGTCAACCGAAAATGAAAAAGCAAACATCGACAGTGAACAGTTGAGTCTATGGAGTGTTTTTTTGTGTGTGTATTCTAGCTTCCTACTCGCTTTCAAATCGACCCAGAGAATTAAAGAGTGTAAAAAAGAGATGGAGAGAGCAAGAGAAAGGGAGAAAGAAAATAATAAATATTTCGAAATTGCCTAAAACTCTCTTTCAGATCCTGTCAGAGTTTTTTTTCATCGTTAGCTAAATATTTTTATTGGTTTGCAAGCAAAAGAAACAGCAGAGACAAATGAACGAATGAGCGTCACATTGTGTGCCACTTGGATATTTCGTACGTATAAAATGGCAATCGTCCTGCACACATAGAACCAGATGTGAACACACAAGAATCAAGAGCTATGTTTACACGTACTTGAGTGCTGACAGTTGATGCTGTTTAATGTTTTTGTTTCGACTTGGATTTTCTGATTACGAAGAGTGAGTGAGTGAGAGAGAGAGAGTCGTTATTTGTTGGAATGAGATGGTTTTTTTGTTTGTAGATGTGCAGCTAGCTAATGTTTGTGTCGTCGCGTGCGCTTTTTGCCGCCTTGAATATCGTAAACAGTACGCCCGACTGCAAAAAAAAATCTCTTAATTTTGTGCGTGCCATTGTTGCTAACAAAGTTTTTTGTTTGTCTTTTTGTTTGTGCGATGCCTATTTTTGTATGTTAGTTAATCTGCAGTCGAACAGCATCTCCATATCTCGCATAAACAAGCGGCATTTAAATACCGTAAAAAACATCATATTTTTGATTTAATTGGGTTTCCCAACCGAAAGAAAAAGAGCAAACGCTCTCTCTAGCGCGCGGTCTGCACACAATCTCGGCAAAAAGCAACAACATTTGACAAAATGTTAAATGAATGCGCGACTACGAAAAATTCACAACAAATTTATTTAAATTCCGTTGACTTTTGCTTTATTTTGAAGCGACTGAATGTGTGAGAGCAAGAGAGAATGCCGCCACTTCGTTGGCTGACGACAGACGTGAACATTGTTGTTCTTATGCTGTTTTCCGCTAATTGTTAATTAGAATTTCAAATTATGAGCGCAGTAAAAATAAAATATACAACCATTTTACAAGTGTAAAATGACATTTAGTACTTTATTTATTTATTTATTTGAGATGGATAATTTTTGGGCGACAAAGTAAAAGAAAAATAAAAGAGACAAACGTTCAGGCAACGAGCGCAAAATATGTATTCAATTATTATGATGGCAACCAAAAAAGTTGGAATGTGTGTATATTTTTACTGAATCTACATTTGAATGCAATTTCGGTAAAAAAAGAGAGGGGCAAATTGCTTACACTGCGCCATTCATGTTGAATTATTGATTGGATCGATTTCCTTTTGAATAACTTAGAGTCACGTAGTAAAATCGAAAATTCAATCATTCATTTTGCGCAAATGACACGAGAATCCCAGTCATATAATCATTCGTGCCATTCAACTATATATTTATGTCATATTCAAAGGTGCACATTTAGCAGCAGCAGCAGGAAAGTAGAAGCAAACTAGTAGTTGCAAGAGTTCGTTGTCAGCAATATAGCTGTAGCCATCGTTGGTGTATGTATAAGTATATATTTCATTCGTGGCTGGTATGAAGAGAATGCTATATTGGCGCGGTGTACCGAAAGTATAATTTAAAGTTTATTTCAAGAGACACACAGTGAAAGAGAGCGAAAGAAAATGTGTTCATTGGTCATACGTATCATTTATGTGAAGTATGCAGACAAAAAGTTTTGTAATGAAATACTGAAGTGAATGTGCAAGAGCCACACGTCGGCCTGCAACAACCGACCGAATATTCCAAAAATGCTCAATATATAATCAGCACCGAACACACACGCACACACAAATACTCATGACAAACCGTGTGCATTCACAAAAGAGTCATGCAGAGCATAGAGAGTGAGAGACAGAGACACACATAAATGCCGCTTTTCGAAAGTTATGGTAATTCTGGAGCGCAAGCCAAGCTCAACCAAATTGAAAACTTTTGCGAATGGAACGAATCAAGGGAAAAACTATTACAAATGTTTATAGTGTGCAAAAGTGATAAAGTGAAATAATATTTAATAAGAAAATTTTTCGACGCACAACCAAAAGTTTTTCTGCGTTGTCACTCTATCGCGCCCCTTTACATTCTTCCATCTCTTTATTTCACTTGAGCAACAATTCCACAGACACTTGAAAATTTATCTGTGTAATTTTGCGCGGTGAAAACAAATATGGTTGTTGTGCAAGGCATCGGCAGCGATATATATCTATATATATATATTGTTAGGCAAGTGCTTGGAATGAAGATGAAACTGAAATCAATGTAAGGTCGTTGAGGCGCTGTAATTGCGATCGAGAAGTGCATGCAAAGAAAAAGTTTACTTTTGAAAAATACACCCAAATGAAAGAATATCGGAGGAATAGCGAGAAAAACGACCAACGCACAAAGCGCACTCTCACACACATTTAAAAGTTTTTTCCATTGCCAGGAGATTTATTTGTAGGAAAAAATATATAAAAGAATAACAACAAAATGAGAATGAAAAAATCCACACAGAGAGAGAGAGAGAGAGTCAGAGCGATTGCAATGGAACGAACAATAAAACGGAAAATAAAATAAATTTGTATTTATTTTGTGCGCGATGGAAAAAAAGGCGTCGCCTCTGAATAAAAACTTTTTTTTCTCGCAAAAGTCTAATGATTTATCCCATAGTTTACATCGGCAATGTAGTCGTCATTGTTGGAACTCGAATGGAATTTTTTCGCTCTAATAACTAACCATTTGCAATTGAAGGGGAAAATGAAGAAAAAAGTCAGGAGAGAAAAAGAATAAATAAATTCGATTGCACAAAACCAGGAAGACTTGATAATGAAAATTTCCGGTTATATCGAGTGTGTTTATTGAAAACTTTTTGTGAATATTTTAACACCACTTTGTATGCGCTATCGATAAGAGAGCTTTGAAATCAATAAGAATCCAACACACTGAATTGCAATTGGAAATCTACACCGCGTTCTAGCCCACTTATTATGTATGATAGAAAATGGATAAAGTCCTAGAGAAGATTGGAAATCTTTTCGAACGAATTGTTGGAATGGCCATTACGAATCAGTGCAACTGTCGTCATCTTGAAATCAAAACTATTGAAAAAGTCATTTCAAAAGTTGTTCATCTTCGATCTAAAACTCCATCTGAATGCTAAATTGTCTGAGAATGTGTGACCAAGATTAACTATATGAGATT